TGATGAACCTTGTATAACAAATATTGATGGTCCTATGGATGGATGTAATATCATATTGACTTTTAATTTCAGTTTTTTTACTAGTTAAAGAAAAACTATCTTTTAGGTTGGCATGATAGTTTCTATTGGACGGTACGTGATATATTACTTAATAATAACGTTGATATGGGTCGATTAAAAGCGTGTATTGATTGTCGACAACAAGGATATTTTGGTGTAGCAAATGTTGTTAATTATATTGGAAATCATGATCATGATCGACTACTTATTGAATTAGGTAAATAAATTGTTTGATTGGTTTCAGAAAAAAAAAGAAAAAGAAGCAATTGAAAATTTGTATTTAGGTAAACAACGCAATATCTTCGGTGAAGAAGCATTTAAACGTCTACGTCTTGGTGTTGTTTTACAAATGACAAGTATTGGCATTCCATTGATTTGGATGGGCGAAGAATTTGGAGAGTAAGTTCTTTTTTTTTTATTGTAATGATTAAAAAAAACAAATATTGTTTTTAGATACAAAGAAAAAACAATTGGTACTGCAAAAATCGATTGGTCATTAATTGCTGATCGTGAAGATAATTCTAATCAAATGAATAAAAAATTATTAAACTTCTATCGTGGTATAATTCGCTTACGTGAAAATAATAAAGCATTTTTTACAACAAATCTGAATTTTATTCATGAAGATGATAATACTAAAGTATTAGTTTATCAACGATGGTAATTCGAAAGAAAAATAGATCTGATTCATATTAAATTAATTATTCTTCTTGTTGTTCTTTAGGGCTGATTCAGGTGAACGAGTTGTCGTTATTGCTAATTTATCAGAAAATTTTCTCGGTAAATTTTAAATACAAAATTAAATTATCTCTGATTGTATAAATAACTAAAAATTTCTATGTGTTTTTTTTCAAATAGCTCAATATCATGTACCAAATATGCCAGCAAATGGTTGGTGGCATGAATGGACATTTGATTATAATGTGAAAGTTGAGAATAATGAAGTACATCTTGATATAGCTGAGCATGAAGCAAAAATTCTTGTTTATGTTGGTGATAATTTTCAACCAGCAACACCTTCATCAGAACCAGTAGTTAAATCAATTCCTGCTAATGAATCAAATAATACTTCTCAAGAACAAAAACAGCCAGATTCTTCATTAAAATAGAATTCTTAAGTGGCTTTGTCTAAAATTATACCACAGTCATAAATTTGTTTGACATAATGGGACGGTGGTTTTTGCCATAAATTATCTGTTCTATTTTTTTTTCTTTTTTTTTAATGTGTACCCCAAATCACCTTTGACAAATGATCCAATTTTTTATTTTCAAACTTCTTCTTTAATTGCCTATTTCTTGAACCATTCTTTTTAATCATAGCTATTCACCGACATTTTTCTTTTTTATGTGTTCTATTTATTACATGAAATGTCTATTTCTTTTACAAAGTTAATTCGCCATTCATGTAATAAAATCTATTAAAAAATATTATTTTCGGAAAATAAAATAAATATATTATCACACCACAATTTCCTTTACATGTATGTTTTATTGTTATAAAAATATATCGTTGTTCGCTTTATTTTAATCAGAATATTTATTTTTCCAATCACTGGTGATGTTGCGAAAACTACAAGAAAGAAGATATTAAAAACAAAATTAAACAATGTTGTGTTTTTAATCTTCATTTTAATAAAAACTTTGAAGTATTATATAGAAACTAATAATTATTAACATTTTAATTCTATTTCCATATTTAATAGAATTTAGTAGTCGGTATGCTCTTGTTTGAAATTCAGTAATTTGAATTTCCGCGAATTAATCTTTCAGCAACCTCAATTTCGATAAGTTTGATTTCGGCGATGAAGTACACAAACATGTGCAAGAATGACTTTCTGTTAAGATGTGGATCTTATTACGATTGTATTATTAATAGAATAAATGTTTGATTAACAAGAAAAACGATGGTCTCACTTAAAATTACTATTCTTATGTATTCATTATCTAGAATGTTGCTCAATGTATTTTGACAATATTCGAAGTTTTTGTCGATTTATTTCGACTAATAGGATCTTTTTCGCTAAGTTAACGTATTAGTTATTACTATGAGATCTATTTAATGAAATGATTGTAGATTTGTTTCTTTGAAATGAAAGATGATGTCTCTTAATTTACGAAGCAATATTTTTCTTGATATGATTCAAGTTGTCGACGATTTCAATATTGAAAACTATTAGAATCATATTACAGCTTATAATAAAATATTTGATAATTTAAACCAAATATTCCATGTTACTTAGAATCATTCTTTCTTCTTTGATACGTCACTGTACTATTTTGAAAATGAAAAAAACAACAAGAAATGCAGAATGTAAGATACTACTGACTAATATCTCTATTATACTCGTGGTTGATTAAAATCTACATCTCTTTCCGACCATTCATTTTTATTATATTTGATTTTTTATTTCTCTCAAATGTTGTAATCAGATGTATGCCATATGATCAATATCACCATGCCGATACTTCACATATATTGAGAAGGACATAAATGCTTTATTGTCACTCTATTTTAACTTTAAGCTTATTAATATCTGTCCTTGTTCAAATATTTTACTTCCTCATTTTGAATACACAGAAACCAGCGTCGGTGAACAGTAGACATGCTCTCGTTCATATTCATCTGAAAAATTTTTTTCTTATATCGGAAATGTTTTTATGCATTTTCTGTACGGTTTCTTGCTACGAACAAACAATATTTAAAGATCATTACACGTTAAATATGTCTATATTATCCCCATACTAATGTACTCAAATAGGACACTAGAAGCTCGTGATATAGTGGCTAAGAGGTAAATTTTCACATTAATAACTGTAAATGTATGCCTACCATGTCTGATTTTAATCGAAATACTTGGAGACAATCGATATTAAAACTACGAAAATAATATCATTTTTATCGCACTATGTAGAAGCTAATGATGTCATTAGCAAAATTTTATCTAGCATACATTTTGTTTTCACCTGTTTAAAATCCCAAAGCACAACTAGAAGTATATTCTTGTTTTTTTTCAAACTTTGCTTTCACTCCGCTTTCCTTTCATCCAATGATGCTTTCCTACATAATATTAATGTTCCTCGTAATAATGGGGGAATCGATGAGCTCGATCACACCGACCTATCATATAGTGAATACAACTGCAAACTATTCAATATACTCAGACCATGCAAATTATTCAACTGATACATCAACAGCTTGGTACCAGCTGCATTCAAGTACTACTACCTACCCTACACAATCATCAACTCAGTGGTATCCGTGGAATACTGACTATGAAACTCCTTCATCAACAGCTTGGTACCAATTACATTCCAGCACCCCTAGATACCCTACACAATCATCTACTCAGTCGCATCCATGGCATACTGACTATCAAACTGCTTCATCAACAGCTTGGTAC